CCGCCTCCCCAAGCGCATGCTGTTAGGAGCGATGGCGGGAGGCGTGGGATACCGGGGCGGGCAAGAAAGCGACTGAGTGTCTCGTCTAGGAGAGGACCTCGTGGCCTTCAACATGGGAGACGAAAAGGAAGGGGGGAAATGGAAAGAGAGCGCCAAGAACTCGGAGGTGTGGTACAACAAGGTCGAGGACGGGGCGGCATGGTTCATGAGGAAATGGCACAGGCAGGAGGCGGAAGCGTCCGCGAAGCGCCAGCGCGCGCGGGAAGCAGAAGCAGAGAGTACGACCATCTCAGGACCGAAGAGAAAGAGAACCGGCGAAGCGGCGGTGGGGGGGAAGAAACGGCGACCGGGCACTGCTGTAGAAGCGAGTAGGGCGGCCGAGGCAGCACTTGTGGCGAACTATGTACCCGGCTGATGTTGTTGCGCCCTGTTTCCCTCCCTGCTGTATGCTATACTCCTTTGTGCATGTCCTTTGCATTGCCTTCGGCCTCTGTGCTGTGTTTCTGTTTTTCTCATGTCCTCCCTGCCTACTCTGCTGCGTTGGGTACCTTGATCTCGCCTTTGCTGTTACTTTTTTTTTTGTACATCTGGCTGTCTGCCCATCCGCCGCCTCTTTGTCCTGTTTGCTCCGTTACTCCCATGCCCTGGTACGTAGTGCCTGGTGCTGGTACGTTACCCTTTGATTTTTTCTTTAGGCGGGTGTGGGAAGCGTCCTCCTTTATTTTTGTTTGTGTTTAGTTTTGATCGGTTTCCGATGGCTCTTTTCTCGAACGGTCGGTGCGGTACCTGATTTTCTTTTCATCATTTTGTTTTCTTATTCCGAGTGGTTTGTACCCTTTTTTTGTTTTGTTACCCCGCGGCGTCGTATGTGCCGGATTTTGAGACCATGGACTCCCCATTTTTTGTGGACTATAGAGCAAATGTGAGAAACAACAACAACGACACAGGCGTTGTTTGGGTTGAACTAAGTTGATGGTGTACGTGAATCGCAACGCGTCATGGAGTCACTCTTCAATCACGACCGGGTTCGACCAGCATAGCGCATATCGGGGGCCAAGCGCTGCACGTCTACAAGTCCCTCCGTGTAACCTCGACGCCTCTTGACACTTTCAGCATCAATGTACCATGTGTATTTGGACTCAAGCGACCCAACAGCAGTACGCACCGTTCTATACAAATACCAACATCAATACCCAATATCGAGGGGCGCACGATCCTCGTTGGCCAGACACCAAGCCAAGCAACCAAGCACCACCTCAGGTAAGCCAAGGTTTCGTTTAAGCCGCGCATGCGGACCCACTCACCCGCCCTCCTTGAAGAGCTTGCTCTCCCAGAAAGGGCCGACGTGGAAATGGTCCTCCTTGGTTGGTGCGACAACAGTTTCCTTCTGCTCGAAAGTGACGTTCGGAAGGGGGATGAATTGAGCGAGGGGGTCTTGAGGCTCTGCGTCATTTGCAACCGAGGACTACAAGACCAAAAAAGACAGAAAAAAAAAAAAATCGAGTGGTTCGCAACAGAGTCTCATAGCTCCCCTCAGGGGTTGAGCATCTCACTTCAGATCTCTCCTTGTCGTGTTTGTCGCTCTATCTACACCTCACCAGAACCATTACCACCTTCACCACCAAAACAACACAGATACGCCCACACACACATGACCAACCAACGCATGAGCGAATCGTTCATTTGTAGCTGATTGCCCAATTTCGCGTTTCTCGAAGACAAGTAATCACCACACCGACAAGAAAAGAACCAAAACTCAACAACTTAGGAGGACCGGTTCTTTTCCCACCTTGCATTTTTCCTCGGTGTCCTTGACAATGTTCCTGAAGGAGTCGGCGATTTCCCTCAAGAACGACCCGCCCTTCGGGGCCTCTCCGTAGAAGGACGCGCTGTCGCTGCCGCCGTCCTTGGTGGCATACGTGAACTCTGATACACCACATTTTGGAGAAGAGGGCGGGTGGGTGGGGGAGTGGTAACGTTTTGCGTGCCTTAGCGTTTAGACCATTATTCACATGAGCTGGGGGGTGGGGGGTTTCCTTACGTCTTCTCATTCGTAACGACTGAAAGTGGGTCGGCAGCAGCCACAGAAGCAGTTGCAGCAGAACACATGCACGCCCGGCAAAGCTAGCGGCAGACGTCTTCCTGAATTCCTTGCTTNGGGGGGGGGGGGGGGGGGGGGGGGGGGGGGGGGGGGGGGGGGGGGGGGGGGGGGGGGGGGGGGGGGGGGGGGGGAGTGGTAACGTTTTGCGTGCCTTAGCGTTTAGACCATTATTCACATGAGCTGGGGGGTGGGGGGTTTCCTTACGTCTTCTCATTCGTAACGACTGAAAGTGGGTCGGCAGCAGCCACAGAAGCAGTTGCAGCAGAACACATGCACGCCCGGCAAAGCTAGCGGCAGACGTCTTCCTGAATTCCTTGCTTGCGTCTCTTGGTGGAGACCTAGTGCACAGGGACGGGAAGTAGCGTATAGGTTTTCGACGCGGAGAGAAGTGGCATCAAAATGCCAGTGACAACCACCAGCAAGACGCGCAACAAATGCTACTGCTACACTGTAACATCGACAACACGAACACTGCTGCTATAGGGGTGCATCACCAACAGCGGAGACCCAACAACCCTCTAACCCATGTCACCATCTGACCTCCAGGAAAAGCACGTGACCACCAACACCATCGCCCGTCCGAGCGAGACGCCTTAGAGGACGCAAAATCGCTCGTCACTTACCAACAAACAACACGACCGAGAACAACATCATGCTCACTTTGGTCCCCACCCTTGACGACCAGGGCAAGTCCACGTCCACCAAACCAGCCGTTCGATGGAAGAGCAGCCTCGGCGGCTACCGATGTGGACCAGAAAAGAAACAAATCCCACCACAAGACAAAAAACAGGTAACATAGGGAGGATATGCCAAGTGAACAAAAGGTGTGCTGTACGCTGGTGTGTGACGTAGCGCCTCAAGTGCATCGACGTCCAACGAAGAGAGAGAAAAAAGTTAGCCAGAGTTAACAGATTGGAGGTGTTGGAAGTATTGGTCTTCGACGAGGGAAAGGAACAACAGCCAACCCTTTCCTTGAAAAAAACATACCTCGTACTTCTACTTCATACATTAGTCTACTCTGCTGAACGGAGTACTGTACTCTGTATTTTGGAAGGCAACACCACCGCGAAAGAAAGTCAATAATCAAAACAACGTGTAGTCCCCTGTCTGTCACCCCGGCTGCGGCGTCCTAAAATATATGCATAGAAGTATCACCTAAAGGTGTGCACGTTTATCAAGAATAAGGCGATGATCACACAACCAATGCACGATTCCGAACCACGAACATACTCCGAGTATGCAAGGGGTTACTGCAGATAGATGCCACAGGAGACACCACGCCCGTGCGACAGCATTTCAACGTTTTAGGGATTTGTACTGCTTGTACATACATGGGAGTGTAAGCTTTCTTGTGTGACTCAAAACACACGGCTGGAGGTATTGTGTAGCAGTAGATAGAAGTACTTCTGAGGAGCTGTGGTTGTTTCACCTACGCATTCCGCGAGATTTTTTCTAGCACGTTCGTTGAAACGGTCCAAATAATTGCGAAATGGAAGCGCATCCTTTTGTACTTGTTGATTTTCGATCGTTTCACAAAGAAAGGCGTTGCCGGAGGGAGGCAGGGGCAGTCAATGGCTGCCAAGCAAGCCATCCAAAGAGTCTGGCCCTACAATCACCACTGAGCCACGGCATGGTTGTTGTTGTTGTTGTTGTTGACTTCACATTAAACCGTATGCCAGTTGCTAAATGCCAAAATCTAGCAAAGACTCTCAGCCCGTGGTCACGAAAGTGCTAGAACCATCTGAGGATCTAAAGAACACGCACACGTGGCAAGAAAAAGGTATCCAAGAGCCCGAAGAGGTACTACTACACCTATTATAATCCCTGCAGCACCGTACGCGTGCCCAAAACTGAACTACACGTCCGTCTCACCGTTCGACTACAGTAACATCACCCCCTACCTGTCCCACTCTGTACCAAAACGAATGATTGCCGACTACAGCATACTTGCTGTCTGAAGTGCTGTCTGTACAAAAACACCATGGTAGGCATGGAACAAGAAGCTGGCGGGGCACAAAGCTGCTGTCTGAA